ATGTTTTTTTAAATGTATTGCTGAGTTTGGTTTGCTATTATTTAGTTGAAGATTTTTACATCTATGTTCATCAGTGATAATGGCCTGTAATTTTCTTTTTTTGTAATATGTTTGTCTGGTTTTGGTATTAGGGTAATGCAGGCTTCATAAAATGAGTTTGAAAGCCTGCTCTCCTCTTCAATTTTTTGGAATAGTTTGAGAAGGATAGGTATTACTTCTTCAAATATCTGGTAAAATTCACCTGTGAAACCATCTGGTCCAGAGTTTTTGTTTGTTGGGAGTTTTTTGATTACTGATTTAATTTTGTTAGTAGTTATCGGTCTGTTCAGATTTTCTGTTTCTTCCTGAGTCAGTGCTGGAAGATTGTATGTTTCTAGAAATTTATCTTTTTTCTTCCAGGTTGTCCAATTTGTTGGCAAATACTTGTTTGTAATATTTTCTTATAATCCGTTGTATACCTGTAGTGTTGGTTATTACTTTCATTTCTGATTTCATTTGGGCCCTCTCTTTTTTTCTTGAATCTGGCTCAAGGTTTATCAATTTTTTATCTTTTCAAAGAACGAATTCTTGATTTCATTGATCTTGTCTGCTTTTATAGACTTTTTAAAAAAAATTCTGCTCTGAGCTTTATTATTTTCTTCTACTCACTTTGGACTTAGTTTTTGCTTTACATTTTCCAGTTCCTTTAGTTATGTTAGATTGTTTAAGATTTTTCTTGTTTCTTGAGACAGACCTATATTGCTGTAAAGTTCCCTCTTAGAACTGCTTTGGCTTCATCCCATAGATTTGGGGTTGTTGTGTTTTTACTTTCATTTCTCAAGATATCTTTTGATTTCTTCTTTGATCTCATTGTTAACCCATTCATTGTTTAGTAGCATGTCATTTAGCTTCCAGGTGTCTGTATGATTTTCAGTTTTCTCTTTGTAATTGATTTCTAGTTTCATGCCATAACCATCAGAGAAGATAATTAATATGATTTCAGTCCTCTTAAATTTATTGAGAATTGTTTTGCAACCTAACATGTGGTCATTCTGGAAAATTTTCAATGTGTTTGGATTCCTTTTGCTTTATTCCTTGTATATCTCTTGTAGGATTTTGGTTTGTGGTTACCATGTGCTTCCTATATACCAAGCTGTTTATAGCAGTCTATTTTAAGTTTATAGTCGCTAAGTTCAAACACATTCTAAAATCATTACAATTTTTACTAACCCCCTCCACATTTATGTTTTTGTCATGATTTTTTACTACTTTTGTGTATGTGTTTGTGTGTATCCCTTAATTTATTGTAATTACACATGATCTTCCTACTTTTACATTTTAACCTTTGTACTAGCTTTATAGTTGGTTGATCTACTGCTTTTACTAAGTGTTTGCCTTTGTCAGAATTTTTTCCCCTATATATTCTTATTTATATTTTTGATCTTAAAGAAGTCCCTTTAATAGTTCTTGTAATACTGGTTTAATGGCAATGAACTCCTTAACTTTTTCTTGTCTGGAAAACTCTTTATTTTTCCTTCAATTTTAAATGATAACCTTGTCATGTAAGGTATCCTTGGTTGTAGGTCTTTGCCTTTTATCACTTTAAATATTTCATGCCAATCCCTTCTGGTGTGCAAAGTTTCTGTTAAGAAATCAGCTGATCAACTTATGGGAGCTTGCCTGTATGTAACTAACTGGTTTTCTCTTGCTGCCTTTAAGATTCTCTCTTTGTCTTTACCCTTTGACATTTTAATTATGATGTGTCTCGGTGTGGGTCCCTTTGGGTTCATCTTGTTTGGGACTCTATCCACTTCCTGGATTTGTATGTCTGTTTCCTTTGCCAGGTTAGGGAAGTTTTCAGTCATCATTTCTTTAAATAGGTGTTCGATCCTTTGCTCTCTTCTTCTGGTACCATTAGGATGCTAATGTTGGTGTGCTTTATGTTGTCCCAGAGGTCCCTTAAACTATTCTCATTTTTAATAATTTTTTCTTTATGTTGTTCCGATTGAGTGTCTTCTGCTACCTTGTCTTCCAGATTGCTGATTTGATCCTCTAGTTTCATCTTATCTCCTGTTTATTTTTTTTAGCGTATTCTTCATTTGTTTTTTATTTTCTATCTCTTTGTTGAATTTCTCATTAAGTTCATTCTTTTCTCAGTTTATTGAGTTTCCTTACAATCAATATTTTGAACTCTGTATCTGGTAGATTACTTGCCTTAATTTCATTTAGTTCTTTTTGTGTAATTTCGTCAAGTTCTTTTATTTGGGACGTGTTTCTTTGTCTCTTCCTTTTGGCTGACTCCCTGTGTTTCTGATAGGTAAATCTGCTATGTCTCCCAGTCTTGGCATAGTGCCATATGTAGTAGTGTCCTGTGGGGTCTTCCCGTTTACCTGAGCTGGGTGCTCCAGGGGTGTCCTTTGTGTGGGTCGTGTGTGCCCTCCTGTTTTAGTTGAGTCTTAATTGCTGTTGGCATATCAGTGGGTGGGATTGACCATAGGCCAATTGGCTGTGTGGGCTGGCCCCGAGTACAGTGGATGAGCTGTTGTGCAGGGGCTGATCCCATAGAGTAGGAATTGCTTTAGTAGGGCTCTGGTGCCAGGCTAGTCTGCCCTTCAGGTGTGGCATTTGTGAAGCTAGTTGAGTGGTACTCTAGTGTGGTCTAAAGCTGACCACTGGGTGTAGTGGTCCTGGAGCTTCTTGGGAGGGGTTCTGATTCAGGCCAAGTTCAGCTATCGCTTGTGCCTGCTTGGTGCCTCCTGGTGGAAGCTGCAAAGTTATCTGCAGTTGTTGCTTCTTCTGCTTCAGTTGGAGGCACTTGTGAGAGGCTATGCTGTGAACTGGTGCCAAGCTTGGGACCATTTGGTGGGCACCACAATGTGAGCTGAGGCTAGCTACTGCTTGTGTCGAACTTTTGGCCGCTTAGTTGAAGCTGTGTTCCAAAACAACACTGGCTACAGCTTGTTGTGCTTGGGGCCACCTAATAGAAGTTATAATGCAAGTTGAGACCAGTCGCTGCTTATGCTGGGTGGGGGGTGGCTTAGCAAGAGGTACAAGGCATGCCAAGGCAAGTTGCTGCAAGTTTGAGGTTTCTAGGCCTTTGAGAGGTTTTAGGAAAGTCTTCAGCAGCTCTACATCTCCCTCGGATGCAGTCCGTACTGGTTTTCACACTCAGTTGTTATGGGGACTCCTCTCCCTGGCACTAGAGCCCCACCTGGGGAACCAAGTGTGGAGCTGGGATCCCTTACTTGTCAGGGGAGATCTCCACAGCTGAGATATCCCTCTCATTTCTTAACTCATTTCTTAACACTATGAGTGTGGGACCTGCCCGTTCTGTGTCTGTACCACTCCTACCAATCTTCTTTATATCCTGAGTCTTCAGGTGGATCACAATGATGGTCGTTCTATAATTTCTTTGTAATTTTGATTGGGAAGATGCGAGCACAGTGTTTACCTACTCTGCCACCTTGACCAGAAGTTCCATGTTGGCTACTTTAGATATGGTAGTTGATGGGCTCAATGGAGACAATGTAGAACTTGGACTTGGGCCAAGTATATGGAAAGAATGGCAGAAATTTTGAGGTGTTTGAATGGCATGGTTTTCTGTCCCACTTTTCTCACCTGGATTTCCAGTCTCAAAGATGCTTTGAGGATCTGTGTTGAAGTTGCTTTGAAAGCCCCTGTAGTGATGTCTGAAGACAACACATGCTCCTCAAGATGCATGGGGCTATGTCTGGGGAAGATTTTCCTTGGGTGCAGGCCTCCTGTTTTCTTGGCTACACTAGTCCCACAGCAGAGATTCCTCTTAAACAGACATCTCTTAGATATAGCTGGCCAATTCTTTTTCATTGTTTAAACATTTTGAAATTCTTCTGTAAATCTTCCCTATTTGTTAGAGTGAAAGTTAAAGACCAAAAATCCCTATGATCTAGAAATGTAGCATTCCTAACTGTGATATAGGCTGTCAGAAGAGCATAGTTTCGAGTCTACTATGTGGTTTAAATACCAACTTAGCCTTGTGACTCCTTAGCCCTGTGACTTTTGGTCAAGTATCTTAGTCTCCCTGAGTTTTGATTTTGGAAATCTATAAGATGGAGACAGTCATACCCATTACAAAAGGCGATTGTGAAGGTGAAACAAAATTGGGTATAGAAAGCCCTGAGCACAATTGACTAGCACATAGTATTCCTTAATTGTCAGAAGCAGGTAGTAGAATAAGTCAGAGCATAGATTCTGGATGGATTTACACCTATGCTTTTCTTCTAGCCATGTGACCTTGAACAAGTTCCTTAATTTTTCTGTGCCTCTGTTTCTACATCTGTAAAATGGACATATTGATGGTACCCACCTCATTAGGGCTGTCTTAAGATTAAAAGAGTTAACATAGAAAGCATTTAGAGTACTGCCTATCATGTAATCAGCTCTATGCAAGAGGCTGCTGCCATTCTCTCACCATCTAATATGATGCCCTATTCCCTTGGAGCAGCATGTTTGATTTATGTTGATTAGATATATGAGTTATAGGGGCACAGCAAGTACCCCAAAGGCACCAGGGAGGTCTGGTTGGTCAGGCTGGCAGTCCACTAGTGATGGGTCGTGAATCTCCAGTCTCACTACACCACATGCATCTTCTCAGTCACTCTGTGCTGATTCAGAGAGGGCACCTTCCCCAAAGAGGATGGAACTGTTCTTAGATTAGGGTAAGCCAGTGGTTAGACAACTCTACAGGGATCAATTCCCTGAATCTTCCCATGGCTGTGGAACCTCTAAATTTCCTTTGTGCAGCATTGTAGGATGTGATGAGACTCCTGTAAATTCATCTCTTTTGCATGGTAACTCTCAAATACCATAAAGTTGAAACACCAAGCTCTTGGTTGAAGTGGTGGCAGGGATCCACTCTATTCCTCCTTTTTCTCAAGGAACACCTCTCTGGAGACTGGCTGATGACTTTGGAAGCTCTTTGGAATACATTCAGGTTGAGTGAATTGAGTGATAAGTAATTACCACTTCTGCTTTATTTTCAGCTGATTATTTACCCTGGAACCAACCAAGACGAGAGCTACTTCGTCCAGTACACAACTACCGGCCAGCATCAACCAGGTTTGATAGTAGAACCACGCACCAGGATGATTACTCCATAAAGGGCCTAGTGAACACCATGAGCTGTAAACCTCCAGCTATGCCCAAGCTCTGTAACATCCCCTTGGAGGATCTGACCAACTACAAGATGGCCTACGTGGCCCACCCTATGGAGAAGCGCTTTGTGTATGAGGCAGAGAAGTTCAAACCCTGTGAAATCCCCTTTGAAAACCTCACCACCCACAGACAGTCCTACCGGGGCCTAATGGGGGAGCCAGCCAAAAGCTTGAAACCACCAGCCAGGACCTGTGGGCAAGACATGCCTTTCTCTAACACTACTGAGTTTCGAGATAAGTACCAAGCTTGGCCAACGCCCCAGATGTTCTCCAAAGCTCCCATCCTCTACGTCCCTCCTGAAGAAAAGATGGACCTTCTGACAACAGTGCAGGCCCATTACACATATCCTAAGGGTGCCCCAGCTCAGTCCTACCGACCAGTGCACTGTGTCAAGAAGGGTGGTCGTTTTGAAAGCTCCACTACCACCAAGGACGACTATAAGCGGTGGGCCAGCATGCGCACAGAGCCTATCAAGCCCATTCCCCAGCTGAACCTTCCCATTGAGCCCTTGGACTGCCTGACCACCACCCGGGCCCACTATGTGCCCCACCCACCCATCAGTACCAAAAGCTGTAAGCCCCCCTGGTCTGGCCCCCGAGGAAATATCCCTGTGGAGGGCCAGACCACATACACCATCAGCTTTACTCCTAAGGATATAGGTAGGTGCCTGGCTTCATACTCTGAGCCCCCTGGCTACATCTTTGAAGAAACAGATGCTTTGGGGCACAGGATTTACAGGCCGATTTCCCAGACAGTTTCTCGGCGGAACAGCCCTTTTTCTGTAGGTGATTCAGAAAAACCCAACCAGCAGGAGTTGGCAGTGTCAGCTTGATTTTTAAAAGTTATTTAGAAATTGTACAATTCTTTTAAAAGCAGACAATTGAAATTTATTCGTTGGACAAAAAAGAATTCCCCAAAATGTAAAAAAAAAAAAATCTTCATCAGAATTTCCAGGACACTTGAATAAAATGAGAATCACTTGACTCAAGGAAAATGACACGTAGTCACTGGCTAATTACCCACCTTAACTCTCCCCCTCTGCTGTCTTTCCCTTTTTGGTTCCTTACCTTGTGCTTATGGAATCACAGCTGGTCTCTATGAGGTTTTCTCTGAACCAGATATATTCGTTGTTCATTGTATGAATCGACATTATAATTAACCCTTGCTAAGTATGAAGTGCCCAAGAATAAACTTGATTTCGGGGGGATTGAATCTGCAGGTCTGTGTGTTCACTCCCACACACTGTCTATGCAGAGAGCAGGCTGCGTTCCTTGGAACCTTTGAGGAAATTTAAGATTAAAGTCCCCATTGCATTTCAGTCTTGGTGGGAGTGCCTTGTGCCCAACCTGAAGTCTTGTTTTGGGTTCTTTCTGCCTAGTGCTGCTTCACAGAGTGTCTTTCTACTTCTTCACATCATGATATACCAGCAAAAACAGTGCTGCCTGATGGGGCATGAGTCTTTCTAGTTATAGGAGATAGCAATCCCATGGGAGCATGGACTCGCCAGACCTCTCTTACCCTTAAATCATGCAGGCTGTGATTCCAGAGAAAGGAGATGGGAAAAGGGACCCAGGCAACCAAGCACTTGGCAGTCAGCCCCTGGGCTGTTTTACCAGAGCCTGGAGAAAATGTCTCCATGCTGGCCTGGTCCCTGGAAAGGCTGGACCTCCTTGTCCTAAATTATAACTGTGATTAGGCCTATAACAAAGCTTGACATAGTGGTGATCTGGACTCTGTCCTGGTAAAAGGGCTGGAGATTTCTCTTTTAGGTCTAAGGGCTCACCAAGTTTGGTTCTAAGGCTAAGTAATCTAGAGATTATTTGAAATTAAGCAGAATCAAGGAAGGACTCTTTGTTCAAGGAGGCCTATACCAGGGTCGGATAGGCTCATGATCAGAGTGAGCATCTCACAGAAAGATCCAGATGGACATCTGGAACACCCATATCTCTCTCTCTCTCTCTCTCTCTCTCTCTCTCTCTCTCTCTCTTTTCCTTGGAAATTAAAATATACTCCATGGTCTCAGAGAGCTTAGGATCATGCTAGAGGGAAGAGAAAATTTCCGCTTAAGTTCAGAGACTTGGGGTTAGGCTTAGCACCTGATTCGTGAGTGAGAAAACTGGATCTCTTATCCGGGGCTCAGTCTTTCCACAGCTCTCACCTACTTTTGCCAGACCACTCAGATCCCCACCCTGGTAGCCTCACCATGAGGTTAGTTTTTGTCACTGATTTGGTATCTACATTATTTAATCCTCTTTTTGGTTATATGGGGTCTGGATACCTGCCCTTATGAGGCAGAGAGGCTCGGAGAGATTATGCACCTTGCCTAAGGTCACAGAGCTTGGAACACCAAGGTCAAGACTGAAACCTGTGTCTTCTGATTCAAGATCTAGTGCTCTTCTCACCACACCGGGCACCTCCTCTCTGCTGTGTCTCAGAACTTATGGCTCCATAAGCCACATCAAACCACATTCTCTTTGAACTCCTTCCTGGAGTCCATTAAGCTAAAGGAAATCACTAAGGAAGGTAGGTTTTATTATTTTGTTTCATAATTTTTTACAAATCAACGAAGTACTGGAACTTGATTTGAAAAGCCAAATAGGGCTATAACACTTATAAAAAATTCAGCAATCTCTTATGCCCCAGCCCCTTGGCCTCCTCCATTATCACTTCCCCCAGAGAACAACTTAAAATTATTTGATCTGTTTCTAATATTTTCTTTTATTTCTAAATAATATGCATATACTATTGACTCATCAAGTTTAGATGTGGCCTATTTTGGTTAATTAGGAGTTTTAGTTCTCTTACATTACCCCCTTCTCTCTCCCTTCTCAGAATGGTTATGTGACAGTGCTTGGTTATATCAAGACTAATAAGCTTTTTTAACGTTTATGAACGTTATAAAAGGAAGAGAAGAAGCTGAAGAAGTATGGAGTACCTGTTTGGTTAAGGAGCACTGAGCCTTCTTGGGGTGAGAAATGTCCTCTGACTTCTTCCTTTGGGACATTTGGTGACCCCAGGGTAGGTGAGCTACTTCGTACATTCTTGCATTGCCCACTTCTGGATTTAAAGAGCTAGGTTTCTCCCCGCTACCTGTCCTCTTTTGGTCTTGAAATATATTATAAAAGTGGTTACCACAAAAAACTAAAAAAATACAGAAAATACGTAAAAAGACAAAAGTAGCCATTATGGGGACTAGTGGAACACAGTGGCTAAGAGCATACAAGGAGAGTGTCCAGCAGACCTGGGCTTGCATCTTGGCCCTTGCTGCCCAGTAGCTATGAGATGCTGGTCAAATTCTTTAACATATGGACAATGACAATAATGGCTGCATGGTTTTGTTGTTTGGACTGAATGATAGAATGTATGTCACTCACTTAACCCTGGCTCATGGTTAACTCTCATTAAATGTAGGTGAGGATGATGGTGATGATGACGAAGATGGTTGCTGAGTTCTCCTGGTTGAATCTACTTATGATTTTATTGGTCAGTATTTACAAGTGTGCAGGTAAGGGTAACTACTCATGTTTTATATTTTACAAGGTAAAATTTTTACTTTTTTTTTTTTACGTATAGTTAACTTTTTAGTTGGTCTGAGTCAGAGTTGCTATCTGCATTCCCTGGAATTGTCATCTTAGAAAGTGACATGGTCAGAAGGAAGGAGGGAAAAAAAAAAGAAGCTGAGGACCTGATGGTTCCCCTCCCCTGCTCTGTCATAGCAGGAGCTTATTACTCAGTTCTGTGTATTGGGCTTCTATATAAGAGTTTGTTGGGAAAGATTCCACTCTATTAAGACACCATGCTCTAATGCCTGATATGATCCTGTTCAACAAACTCTAATGATGGAAGGCTTCAAACACATCCTAGGGTCCTAGGGTTCTCAAGTGTACACAGTCCAGGGTTCTCAAGGCCTTAGGCATATTATACCAGAAAATTATTAGACACCAAAGATAGAACACAAAGGGAAAAGTTTTAAGTCCAAGCAGGGAACCTGCTCCAGCACAGAATCCAGTATGATTTGGGAATGAGGTTCTGGAGAAGAAAACAGGTAAGGCCTTTAAAGCCCTCAAATGGTAGACTGTTCTGTCAGAGGAATGCAGAGTCTCCCAGTGAGGCCAATGGGCTTGAGATAGTGGTATTAGTTGGTGTGGAAGCTCTGGGCTGAATGGACATGGGCTGCTGGTTTGGGATATGGTGCCCAGAGGTATCTTCTGGGATGAGGTCCCACTCCCGATGATGGTATCTCCCTGCCTGTGCTGTGCACAGGGCAGTCCCGTGTCAGCAAGGGTAGATGGTCAGGACAGGTCTTATCCCCTGGTTCACCTTACAGCAGGACCACTTGTATGAGTAAAGACACTGAGACATCACTCTCATTTTTTGGTGATCAGAAACCCTCTTTCTATTTTGCCTCCCAATTAATGTATAATTATAACACAGAAAACAATTTAAAAGACTCTCCATTCTCCTACTTGTTGTATTTTCACAAAGGTCAACATCTTTAAGAATGAGCCTTTCTTTCTCAGCTTGGCTCCAAGATCTGCCAGGCAATGGGAGGGTGGGGAAGGTGGGGCCCACTGTAAGTGATTCTTTTAGCAATCCCTGGTTTTAGTACCATTTGTCACTCTGCTTGCTATGATACCTGGTATTTCAAAACATGAACCCCTGCTGGGTTCTGCCTTGCAGACCTGCTGCCTATCAGCTCAGCATTTCTACAGCATTTTTATTCTAAGCTGTGGCTTCCTTTTCTCCACTTGACATCATTCCACTGTCTTCCTCCTGTCTTTTTCAGATTTCTTGAAAGCCCTTGTCTATGCATGACCCTCATCCTGTCTCCTTCACTATGACATTTTATGATTTAATTAGTGTTTTATTATAGCTTAATGGTGTATGTGAGGAGGTAGGAAGGAGATAAACACAAGTCAGCAGTCTGTCAGTTGACCTGGAGTTGATATAACCAGTTGCAGGTGATGAAGCACTAATGGGATTTCATTAGGGTCTTCTCAACTTGAATGCATACCTGGAGGGTGACTTTTTCCTCTGACTTGACAGAGGAGCAAACCTGGATGGTGGAGAATAAGTACCCGGGCACCCAGTGTGTGCAGATGAAGGGAGTCCTGGATCTTGGGCCATTACCCTCTGAACTCCAAGGCTGTGCAGATAGCATCAGATAGTGCTCTCCCACCTCCATCTTGAGCTCCACTCCCGCCCCCGCCCCACACCACTTCCTATCCCTCTCAGACCTCACCAGCAATTTCATGGAAGAGGGCAGAGACAGCCCTCAACTGAGCAGGGACCACAGCCTAGTTCTGACATCAGAGCTACTGCCTCTGCTGGGGGTGTCTGGGGAAGCAAACACTCCCTGACGTCTCATGGTGCTGCTTTCATATGATGTCCTCCAAATACCTTTTCATTGTAGTTTCATTGTCCTAAACATGTTTGCAATAATGTACATAGTTAGAATAACTGTCCTCTCTACTCCACTCCATGCTTCTGCTTCTAGAGCAGGAGTGAAGCAAACTGCTCAAGGCAGTGGGATTGGCACAACAAAACCTTTTCAAAGTGATGTACCTTTTTGAGATCTGGTGATTTACGGCGTGAAGATGAATTGAGGGATCCATTTCCTCTAAAAGTGCTTTTCTGGGGTGCAGTTGTCAAGAGGAAGTAGGCGGGGCAGATGGGGAGTGTACACGGTCCTAATTGCAGATTAAAGATCCCCCTGGCTTCTCAGGCCTGTCCTGCCATAACCCAGGCCCACATCTGGTTAGCAGGACTCAAAATGGGAAGACAGAGGCTTTTCTGAGCATAAATACTGGGGTGGAGGGGCAGGCAGGGGTGTTTTCTTTGGCAAGGCAGACTCAGAATTTCCACATGGCTGGCTGAGCAGGTGCTTGGCTTCTTCTCACTTTTGGGGATACAACTGGAGCCTAGAAGCCTGTGAACCTTCCAGAACACGTGCTCTGGATTCTGGAAAAGAACTCAGAACAATGCTAGGCTGGTCTCCTCTTTAAGCCTTACTTCTGGGCCACAGGTGCCCTGATCCCTGCCTCTGGATCCTTGGACGCCAACAGGAGAAGCCCTGATGGCTTTTCCTATTCAAGCCTCTACGTATGGCAATGAACCCAGCTTGAGCTAAACAAAATGATTCAGGAACGTTTCACTGCTGCGATTGAATCTAACACTGATTTTTCTTGGGCTTTTATTGCCCAGACC